AGAAGTAGTTAATGAGACCAGCATTGCCTCATTATGGCTAAAGTTGGAATCTCTCTCTATAACGAAAAAGTTCAACAAATAATCTTTATCTCAAAGAACGGCTATATACCATTTATATGGTGGAAGGTATTCATATTCAATCTCATCTTGATGAATTTAATTCAATTATTATGAATTTAGAAAATAATATTGATATCAAAATAGAAGATGAGGATAAAGTTGTTTTCTTGATTGTCTCGCTGCCCTACTCTTCTAAACATTTTACAAAAACTATGCTATATACAAATTTAGACACCTCAGCCTTTGAAGATATAAAATCTAATTTATTGTCCAAAGAAAAATTTGACCTTGAAATTTGATCTGAGAACAAAGATAAAGGTTGAAATGTGAGAGGGAGAAATGATGAAAAAGAAAGTACCAAAAAATCAAGATCTAAATCTAGGAGACATAAATCCAACAAAAATGATAAAACCTGTAGTTATTTCAAGAAGTCAAGGCTTGAGATATCTCAATGTTATAGGCTTAAAAAAAAAGCATCAAAGCGAAGAACAAAATAATCAACCTCAAAAATTATCTGTTAAAGCTAGTGTTGTTAAGACAGAATCAGATGGTGATGTTTTGTTGTTTGTTTTCTTTATTGATAGGAGGAATAAAACTAATTAGATTCTTCATTTTGCTTGTACTTTTCATATATAACTCATAAAGATTGGCTTACCACTCTTGAACCATTAATTGTGGTATTGTTTTGATGGGTGATAATAATTAATGAAAGATTCTAGGAATGGGTACATTGCAGATCAAGACTCATGATGGTATTTCTTTTTTAAACTCTTTCTAATGTTCATCATGTTCTTAAGGTAAAAGGGAATTTAATTTTTTTGGGTATTCTTGAATCTCAAGGATATAAGCAATCAGTTGAATGTGGAGTTGTTAAAGTTTCTAAAGGTTTTCTCCTTTGTATGAAAGGTAATCATCATAGTACTCTTGCAATATTCTACTGTTACAAGTTTAGTGGCTATTTCACATTCATGCTTCATAATTCTCACACTATCCAACTATGGCACATGGGATTGGGCCATATGAGCGAGAAAGGTATGAATGTTTTAAATAAGAATAGCATCTAGTGTGGTCAAAGTACCGGTGAATTAGAGTTTTAAGAACATTGTGTTTTTGAGAAACAAAAAAGAATTAGTTTTTCTATTGCAACTCATAACACTAAAAGTGTTCTTGACTTTGTACATTTTGATTTATGAGAACCTTCAAAATTTCTTTTTATTGGAGGATGTCATTATATGATGACTATTTATTGATAACTATTCTTAAAAAATTTGAGTTTATTTTCTCAAGTGTAAAAGCAAAGCTTTCTCTTATTTTCAAAAAAGAAATTCTTTTGTTGAGAATCAAATAGGAGAAAGGTTAAAAAGTTGAGAACAAACAATAGTTGAGTTATGTGAAAATAATTTTAATGAGTTCTACACTAATAATAGCATTACTAGACATAAAACACTTGTAGGAAAGCCCCATCAGAATGGTATTGCAGAATGTATCAATAGGACTCTACTTGAGAGAGCATGTCATATGCTCTCTAATGCTAGGTTATGGCATCGGTGTGATTTATAAGTTGAAGCTACATTGACTACATGTTATTTGATCAATTGTTCACCTCACATATCACTTGGTTTCCAAGTTCTAGAAGACATTTGGTCAGGTAACCTTGTTAATTATTCTAATTTAAGAATTTTTAGGTGTCTTATATATGTACATATTAATAATGGTAAATTAGCTCTGGAGGCTAGAAAATATGTATTTCTTGGACATGCATCTGAATTTAAAGGATATTAGTTATGGTCTTCTGACTCTAATGGGAAGAAAGTTATTTTTAGTAGAGATGTTACATTTATGAAGATATGCATTATTTTATTTTAGAAAAAATTCTTGAGTTTCTCCTTCTATTAGTGTAGGTAATGAGCAGAGTACTAATAAAAAGGTGAAGTTAGAGTTAAAGCTATTACTCCTTCATCAATTATGGAATCTTCCTCTAATAGAGGAAGTGATGATCAAATATGTAATGATGTTATAAGTATTACTCCACAATCCATCAAAAGCTAGAATATTCTATCGATCAAGATCATCCACGAAGGGATATTAAAAGGTCTGCTCAATATTTTGATGATGAATTACTTGCATATGCATTTTTTGTTGCATAAGAGATCCATGGAGGTGTTGAGCCTTCTAGTTATTTTGAAGCTATTTCTTGTGGTAATTTATCTAAGTGATTATTAGCTACAAATGAATAAATTGAAAGTCTCCATGAGAATTGTACTTAAGACTTATGTGAGCTTCTTACAGGCAAGCAAGCTTTAAGCTATAAGTGAATATATAAAAAGAAAAATGGTATCCAAGGGTTGAGGATGTAAGGTAGAAAGCACGGTAAGTTGTTTAAGAATGTCATTAAAAAGAAGGTGTTGATTTTAATGAGATTTTCTCTCCAATTGCTTGCCACACTTCCATTCATGTGCTACTTGCATTTGTTGCTTTGTTGAGCTAGAGCAACTTGATGTTAAAACAATATTTTTACATAGAGAACTTGTTGAAAAGATCTACATTAAGCAACCCAAGGTATTTGTGGTTCCTAAAAAGAAACACTACATTTGTCGTTTAGGTAATGGTATAAAAGATTTGAAGCTTTTATGATTGGAAAAAACTTCAATAGAAACAAATATGATAATTATGTTTATTTTAAACAATAATCCTTTTTGTATTTGTTGCTCAATGCCAATGATATGCTTATTGCCTCTAAAAAGAAGTTTTTTTATTAACAAATTAAAACAACAACTCAATAAGGAGTTTGATTTAAAGGACTTTGGTACAGCAAAGAAAATTGTTGACATAAAAATTTATAAAGATAGCCAAGCTAATAAATCGTGTGTATCTCAAAAGAAACATATTTTAAAAGCACTTGATCAATTTAATATGAGTAGGTGTGAACTTATGTCTATTCTTGTTACGCATTTTTAATCATCTAATTATCTTTGCCTAAAATCCAAAAAAGATATTAAGAAAATGTTAAGAGTTCCTTATTTAAGTGTTATTAGTAGTCCAATATACTCTATGGCATGCAGCAGACCTAATCTTGCATATGCAATAAGTGTAGTAAGAAGATACATGTACAATCCTAGAGAAGGCTATTGGGATGCTGTTAAATAGATCCTCCATCATTTGAAAGGTACTTCTGATGTTAGTCTGATATTTGATAGGAATAAGGCTGTATCCAATGATGTTGTTGGTTTTACTGACTCGGATCATGGTTGTGATTTTGATTGACAAAAGTCTCTTTCAGCTTATATTTTTACCCTTCATGACTCTTCTATTAGTTGGGGAGCATCTCTCCAATCTATTTCTACATTATCCTTAACTGAAGCAAAGTATATAGCAACATCTGAGAGTGTAAAGGATGTTATTTGGTTACGAGATCTTGTTATTGAACTTGATATTGCCCAATGAGTTACTAATATTTTCTGTGATAATCAAAGTGATATTCATTTGACAAAGAATGATAGGTATTAGTCAAAAACTAAGTACGTAGACATCAGATATCACTTTATAAGAGATATTGTTGCAATTGATGAAAAGATTGTGAAGAAAATTCATACATCTAAAAATCTAGTAGACATGCTTACAAAACCTCTTTTTGATATTCAATTCAAGCATTGCTTGGGTTTAGTTAGTATTCGCAGCAATTGATTGCCCTTTAAGGCTATTTGACAATTATGAGTATTATTGAATTTAAATTAAGGGAAAATTTGTTGAAATTATAACTCTAATTTTTATTATCTTATGTGATTATTTTTACATATTATCTTATGTAAATTTATCATATTTCTAGATATTTCAGGGGATATTTATTATTATTCAAGACAACATTTTTAGCTGACTCAAATTTTTATAATCCTTTGTGATTATTTTTATACATATTTTGTCGTTCAATTTCCCATAATAGAAACAATTATTATAATTCTCATTTTTTTAGTCAAATTTTTCGCTTGTTGCCCATATAAACAATTCAAGTTCAAGAAGCAAATATAAATCATAAATATAATAACTTAATAAAGAACAAACAATTATCAAGTTGGAAGAAGCTAACTCTCCATCAAAGTACCAAACCCTAGTCACCAAATAAACCTTACTCAATTATATCTCCTCCATTATCTCTATTATTAAAAAAACAATTTAAAGATGAAACATGGTTATTTGGGCTAGACCGAACAAACTTGAAGAATTGCTTAACACCACCAAATTGTCAAGATCCAACCCTATATCAAGTTTATTCAGGTAGTCCGTCCAAAATTGCTGGCTCAATTTTACATTAATATGTGCATAAAAAAGATCAATGATCTCCTAAGACCAAGTGTAGGCTTTCACATAATACCATAGTATATATTATCTTTTAATTGTCACACACTTGAATATGTGCTGCTCCTTCTCTCGTTCTGTACTATGAACCACCGTATACATACAATTTGAATTATACTATGTTTAATTATATCAATAGTATAGTTTTACTACCATGAAAAAAAACCAATAAATTAAACATTAATAAAAAAAAACTATGCACTAATCCTTGGGCAGTTATAATACAAGTGTGTAATTAGAAAAATCATGGCATGCAGTACTAGCTATATGTATTTCAAGATATCATGAAAATAATATCAATATTACCGTTGCTTCTCACACTCCCTCTATATTTTTTCTCTCTCTTCATTAGTTCTATCTTTCCACTTTTTTACCAATCTGTCATTTTTATTGGGTGACAAAAGTTTAAAAATATAAAAACTCGTCTGCACTCCAATCCGAAAATAGAGAACACTATAATATAATTAATAAACATCCGTAAACAAAACTAAATATGATAGCCATGAATCGACCCAAACGCCCAATGGTCTCATATTTCTTAGCCTACTATATTTTCCTTACCCTTCCTGGATTTTTTTTTTTTTTTGGGTTCATTATACCTACATGCTCTGTAGCAATGTCTAATTTGTCATTTGTCACACCTAACCGTGGAATAATGATACCATGGTCTCTTAGTCATAAAAGGAAATTTGAGACATTCATGCCCCTATGAAGTTGCCACAAGTGATCCAATAATCTAAAGAATGCATACATCACTTCTCAATATATAACTACACTAATATTCCATGATGAAGAAAGGTTGTACAGATGGGCAGAAGAGCACATTTTAGTTTTGGGCTTTGGCTACCATATATTACTCCAAGAAAATAGAACTTCTGCAAGAAGGTAGCTAATTAAGGTTTTATTGTGAGAAGAGTCCAAGTGTAGCCTCATCTAATTCAAGGAATTGATTAACCCACTCCAGATTCACTTGACCTTCTTCGATGGACAAGTCAAAGAACCTATTCACATTGTCAAAATTGGGTTCCTTTGATGCCTCTTCATCAGCTTGCTCTGTAGAATTCTCTTCAGGAATATTTGCCCCCTCCAACAGTACTAGTCTTTGTTTCTCTTGTCTTGTTGATTGCTGCTCCCTCTGCTTTATCTTCTTGCACAAGTGAGAATTCCAGTAGTTCTTTATCTCGTTGTCCGTTCTTCCCGGAAGCCTTCCCGCAATTAAAGACCATCTAATTATAAAGATTCATTAATAATACATTATTCTTTATATGAAAATCATTGGGTTTGAAGCCAATCCTACACAACGTGGCCGTGCCGACTCGTCAAGAGAATTAAATAATCTAACCTGTTTCCGAGGAGTTTATGAAGTCGAAGTATCAAATCCTCTTCTTGTTCTGATATGTTTCCTCTCTTGATATTAGGCCTAAGATAGTTCAACCATCTCAGCCTGCAACTCTTACCACCCCGGTTAAGGCCTGCATCGACCAAAAGCTTCAAGTTTTTCTCTTTTTTATTACAATGCTCTTATAAGTACTCTCATGCTTCTTAACTGCAATATTCATATTCGTTGTCCGTAAGGAAGGAATAATACCTGCTTTGGCGGCGATGGATTTCCACTTCTTGGCCCCATGAACTGCAATAACCTCAGCTAGTTTCCTGTCTTCTTCTGGCGTCCAAGCTCCCTTGCTCACACCTACGTTCTTCATGGCTTCATTTGACTTCACTTTTCTCTTGTTATCATCACTCCTAGAAGCCATTGGCTTTTCCTTCAGCACTTTTTAACAGGAAATGAGAGAGAAAGAGAGAAAGAGGGAGGGAGGGAGGGAGGAAAAGCTTCGATTTGTGGTGCTGATGTGTGTGTGTGAGGCAGTAGCAGCCGCGAGGATATATAGTAAACTTGTCAGTGAGTGATGTTCAGTTCCTCAAGTTGCAGTTATATGTATATGAAACGTGCTTGAAGAAGAGGGAGATATCGTAATTAAGACACTTGTCAGTTTCAGGGAGAGAGAACTGTCATGATTGAGCAATATATTGTGTCTTACAAACTCTACTTTCTAGTTTTTAATTATCAAGTTTTTCCCCTTTAATTTGTAATGCTGAAAAGAATGTCTGCTACAATTTATGACTGCTACAAAGAGGCCATGGTAAATACACATGCATTCCCGAAGAAAAAGGGCAAAATTGGATGACATCAATCGAATTTGATGCTTTTTTTTAAATAAGACAGCTATTACAAAATGGTTCCATAATTGCAAAAATTATAGATATAATTTAAAAATATATAACACATATATCAGTCCATCAGTGACAGTAGCAAAAGTCATTTGTCAAAAATAGGTTTTAGGGTGTGGACCATATATAGAATCTACAGTACTTATGTTAATATTTATTTATTATGAGCTGTGAGCATATTATATTGTTCAGATACAAGAAGCATATACTTGAGAATCTCTCTCTCTCTCTCTCTCTCTCTCTCTCTCTCTCTCTCTCATACTGTTATGAGTCCACCACTGGCATATTTTGACAAAATTTCACTGATTATTTATGTCACCAGCTAAGTAGAGCAAAGATTAGTCATTTACTTTTGTTTATTATAAAAAAATTACATTTAAGAATCCCGTTAGAATTTGGACAGTGCGTACCACAATTAAGTGAAGGCTGAGGCCGTATATATACAGAAGTAGGTACGTAGAATAGCTTTTGTCATTTAGCTGATAGAGATGTGCAATCTTCATTTTGCTTTGCATGTGCTAATTAAAGTTCTGTAAAGAAACCAAGGGAGTGGATTTAATATTCATGTAACGTAATAAGCTTGAAATTATTGACATGATCAGAGAACACACTAGTCAAATAGGTGCAGAGAGAAATATAACATTATTGCGGGTGTGTGAAGATTATTGGTCCTGTTGCAGCATTTTCTTTCTGTTTCTCTTTTGAGGAGTCTAGGTCTACATCTTTTTGTACTCGTTCTGGGCACACACATTTTATTGTGCAACTTCTGATCGAATGGCTAATTCATTAAATTCCAATTTCTGCAGTATCCCTCTGGCCTCTTAACTAGTTTATCCATTCATGCAGGTATATATTATATACCTCTGTGCTTTTATTCCTGACGTTGCTGAACTCAAGCATTTAATTGACCAGAGCTAAAAGCTGTATTATTATTACAAGAGAACCAAAGCTCTTATGTATATAAAACAAAGCATCAAGAATTCCAGCAAAAAGGAGAGACATTTTACCTAGTTGATCGCGATATATGAATTCTATATATAAACTAATTGAAAATGTTAAGTCAAGAGAAGTCATTGATTTAAAGTTGAAAATCTTTTACCTTGATTTTTTTTTTGACACCGAAAACGAAACCAAAAAATGAAACTTCGTGGATGAAACGTAAGGCAGACAAGAGAAATAATTTTATATGGCAGGCCCCAGAGTTGTTCAACAACTTTCCAAGAAATTTTCTCCACTGAAAGATGACGGAACTGTTTACTTCTGCAAAGTCAATATCATCGAAGAGAAAGCAAGCGTAAGATTAGAAGAATGTAAAGAACACAGAAAAGTGAAGGAGAGAACGAGAAGAAGCTATATTAGGGGTTGACAAAAGTGAACAATACATGAATGTATTCATGGCTTCCTTCATCAAGTAAAACGAAGTTGTCAAGTTGGGGCCACAGAAACCAATAATCATACCCTAATGAAAATGAGAGAAGAATTGGGAAACATGAAGAGATCATGACTTTTTATTTTGATGCATTTGAAGTAAATGACTGCGATTTTGGACAATAAAATTAAACTTAACTACCCTAAATTTGAGGACAATTATCTAATCCTTCAAATGATTGGCTGGTGATTAGTGAAAACAAGGGTTGGTTTCTCTCCACTGCTCTTCCATTGCCTGAATCATTCAAATTAAATTTATACTTTTAAAAATTATCAAATCTAAATCACCAAATTCAATTTAATGGTTTAAATTTACAGTGATATTCTCTCTGCTCTTCTCTGCAAAAGAAAAAAGCCAATTTCATGAAAACAGGGATGGGCTCTCTTGGTCACTTACATTGCTACATTTTCAGAATTTAAACTTGAGAAATCTAATTAGGAAGGACAATTCTGACCAATTAATCCAAACGCTCATGATTATCATTGAAATAACTTTTATAAATATGGCACATGCCTTTTTGGGTCGTTGTTAGAAGGTTTGATTACCACTTTATATCAAGCCCAATTCCCTATTAATGGGCCACTGTAACTTTATATTATTTATATTAATTAATATATCCTATATGTCTCTTGATTCCATACATTAGATAATCCAATAAATGACGGGCACTCTTAAGTCTTAATAGTGGTGCATCAAGAGTCAACTAGTGTCATGTTGCACAGTTTTTTCTTGAGAAATTAAACATGTCTATATTTTTTTGCCACTATTAAATATATTTATATGGGTAATATTTTTTATATCTATTGTCAATATTTTAAATAATAATTTTATAGTATGTCAGATTACTCCGCATATACTAATTATTATGTACCTCTGTATTGTTCCGGTGATATTTTCTCTAGCTAAAATATAGAGACTTGAATATGAACACATAGTATAATATAAACTAGCATGTAGTTTATGCTGTATTATGTGTAAATGTCTATATTTAATATGTGACAATATTTCCAACAGAATTGCCTCCAAAACAAGAATACTTGTGAAAATCAACAACAATAACGACAACAAAAATGAAGCATGTTAATGTACGGCCTTGGCTGATAGATCAACGGCAGCAACTAACCAACAGTACAGTAGTCTCAAAAATTAATTAAAGGGATAAAACAGTATTTTACTTTCTACTTGCATAGTATAAATTATGGTTTTTGAATTTCCCTCGCCAAAAGTAAGGATCAATCTCGGATTCTTTGAACTGAAACACCGTACTATAATTTAGCAGAAACAAGCAAGGAAAAAATTGAGATGAATTTTGATGCTGCATGTTTCTTTTATTTTTAAGGAGTTCAGATATAATCTGATAAAAAAAATAGTTCGATAAATAAACGAAATAATTTCAAAAAATACACACACATTTAATTAAATTGTGTATACTTCATCGAGAGCTAATTATAGGAAAAGTAATAAGAATAAAATAGTTAGAGGATCAACAATCATGATAACAACAGTTATAGGCAAAGCACACAGTGAAAACAGAATGCAAATGTTGAAGAATGAATGATATATAATTTTAGAGAGCAGGTTTGAAAACGGGAGAAGATCAGAAAAGGAGTGGCGGAGAGTGGACAAATTTATAGATTTTGGCATCCAATGTCAACTAAGATATATATGTGGCAATAATTGTCAGCTCCAAAAATCTTGTCAACAATATAGCTGGGTCCGCTTATGAACTTTCTATTTTCTTTTTACCAACTCCTCATGCTTCTTATTGAGACCCACAACAAATAGTTTCACATATTAAAAACATTCCATTGTTGCCACACCGTAAATATTAAAAACATTTCACATATTTATTACTACAAATTATTAGATTAAAATTACTATGAAAATATAATTGATTTTCTATGTATTTAATCACCATAAAATAACTCCTCCCTCATGTTTAATTTCTGGAAATTGTTTTAGTTTAGGTCCAATATGAAGGATACGTTGTTTAGTTTTAACAAAAATTTTCAAGTCTAACTTATATTGGATTGCATGATGTCTGGGTTGAGTAATGAATTGTGGGAAATCTTATTTTGTTTATTATGACATTCAACCTCTCTCCATGAAAAGGCTTGTGGCAAGGCAAATTTTTGAAATTAAGATGATGATTAAGAAATTTATGATAGGAAAGAGGGCATTTAAGACAAGTTATGAAAGTTAGATTAAATGACATTTTCACCCCTCACTGTTTTAGGGTGAATATTATTCTAAAGTATTCATTAGAGTAATATTATACTTAGCTTTAAGGTCCTATTTGGTTCATAGGAAATAGGCATAAGAAAAAGGAAAATAAATTTTCTTTTGATTGGTTGGGAGGAATTTTGATACTTGAGAACCTATTTTTAAGAGAAATAATGAAAAATAGGTTCCTGACAAGGTTCCAAAGAAACTTTTATCTTTCTAAAAAAATATTCTTCACGTCCACTTTGTCCCTAGCTTCTATCGACGTTCTCCCTCCTCCGCCTACCAGTTTCACCATCACCATCGCGCACCCACACCGACCTTCACCTTCATCGTCGCTATTACCTTCATCGTTGCTATCGTGCACCCCCGTGAAAAAGAATAACGGTCCCTTTAAGAACTTATCACACTACTACAAAAATATGGATATAAGATGCTAAAAAAATGATGGTTAAAGAAAAATATATCATATAAAAGTAAGGCGGGTGATAGTTACAAAATAAATGATAGGTGTTTAAAATACTTGTTATTTATTATTTAAAAATAAATGACAGGATGTTTGAAAAACCCATCATATAAAGTTTCAAGTCTATTTTAAAAAAATTTTAAAAGTAAACTTTAAATAACGGATGTTTCAAACAACCATTATTTAAAATTTTCACAATAAATGACGGGTGTTTGAAACACCCATCATTTAAAGTTTCAAATCTAATTTTAAAAAAAATTAAAAAAATTAAATTTTAAATGACAGTTGTTTCAAACATTGGTCACTTAAAGTCTTCACAATAAATGACGATTGTTAAAAGTTTAATTTTTTTTAAAAAAATTAAACTTTAAATGAAACACCCATCATTTAAAGTACAATAAATGATAGGAGTTTCAAACACTGATCATTTATTTGGAAATAAATAACGAACATTCAAACACCTGTCATTTATTCCCTCATAACTATATATGACAAGGATTGAAAAGCATGAAATATATGCTTCTTTTTAATGCTCTATTTCTTCTTTCATTTTCATTTTCAACTCGTGCTGATAGTTTTTTCTCTTTTTCTCCATTGCCTCACTTAGTTTGTTCGCCCATATATCA